ATTGGTGGGAATGTAAGCTAGTGCAGTCATTGTGGAAAACAGTATGGAGATTCCTTAAGAAACTAAAAATAGAACCCTCATATGATACATCAATATCATTACTAAGCATATATCTAAAGAAAAGGAAATGGGGACCAGCAGTTGGCATAATGGCTATGTCGCTGGACTCCCATGTAGTTGACTGCAGTTTGAGTCCTGGACCCAGTGGCTTAAAACTCATGCCAGGTGCATGTGTGTGTGTGTGCCCAAGATCCCAAGAGGAGAATGGAGGAGAAGGGATTGTGGCATGGCCATCCCCCTTGGGGGGCGATTTCTCACTTTCTCTCTGTCTTTCTGGCAAGCACACACACCCTCTAGCAAAAACTCCTCCAGAAAAAAAGAAAAGAAAAGAAAAGAAAAGAAAAGAAAAGAAAAGAAAAGAAAAGAAAAGAAAAGAAAAAGAACATGTCATAAAAAATATTAATACCTCCATGTTTATTGCAGTATTTTACATAATAGCCAAGATATGGAAGCAATCTCAGTGTCTAGCAATGGAAAAATAGATGAAGATAATGTGAAACACATACAATGGAATAGTATACAGTCATTATAAAGGATGAAATTCAATCATTTGAGTTAAATAGGAAAACCCGGCAGACATTATATTAAGTGAAATAAACCAGGTATAGAAAGATAAATACCACATGTTCTCCTTCATATATGGAAATTGGAAAAAAATAATATCATAGCAGTAGAGAGATGTAGAATAACTAATGGATGCACTGGATGCTGGGAAGGATGTGGGGTCGAACAGAAGGATTTTAATTAACCAAAACAAAATTGCAGATGGATGGATAAAACAATACGTAGTGTTATAAACGATGGTGGGGAGAATGCAGTTAACAACTGACAGTATATAAGGTTGCAAATAGTTAAAATAATGGAGACAATACTGATTACTCTGACTTAATCATTATGTATTGTATTCATGTGCTGAAAAATCACATTGTAACAATCATCATGTTAATTAAAAAATCACTAATTTAAAAAGGTACTCATTCAATGAGTACAGGTTGAAAAGTTTTTCAATAGGTACTTTTTTAAAAAAATTATTTTATTTTATTATTTTTTAAATTTGCTATAGGGCAAATTTCTCAAGAGAGAAAGAGAGCGAGAGAGAGAGAATGGGAAAAACCAAGCCACCAGGTCTAGGACTCAAACTGTGGTTGGCCATTTGGGAGTCAGCACCTTAACTACCGCACCACCTACTAACCCCCAGTAGATACTTTTTATTGAATCATTTATGCCACCACTAGAGGTAAGAGAGTAGGAATAAGTATTTAATTCTATTAATAAGCAAAATGAAGCTCAGAGATGGTGAATTGTTCCAAGGGGAAAACAATCCCAATGAGTCTGTTTGACTCTAAACTGTATGCACTACTGGTCCTGTAGATGATATAGAAACATAGAAAATGGTTGTGAATACCAGATACAGTGTGGGAAGAGGGTAAGCAAAGGAGAGTCTGAGGAAAGACGTTAAGGAGAAAAACAGAGAGGCAAGGCATTTATGGGACAAAGAAATTGGTTATTATCTGTTGAAGATAATGTGTATAGTATTCTCAACTGGACCGGTGAGAAATGTATACATGTTGGAATATTCACTTTACAAGCTAAGTGACATATGTAATTAAATGTATAAAAGAAATTGAAATTAAATTTTTTTAAATCTTAAAAATAAAAAAGTAAAGGATCTAAATGTGCATTAAATTATCCATATTCTTTATTCTGTATGGTATACTCTCCCATACCCTCTACCCCTTATTTATATGCATTCTTGTGTCTGTTAAAAATTATCTCACAAACCCTCTGTCCACCATTTCCATTTGGCTTCTAGAATCTACCATTACTCTAAAATGTCATACTGGGAGCCAGTAGATGGTGTAGTGGTTAAAGCTCTGAACTCCCATGTGGTCAACTGCAGTTTGATTCCCAAAACTAGCAGCTCGAAACTCACGCTAAGTGCACATGTGTGCATGCCCAAAATCCCAAGGGGAGAATAACTGAAGGGATTATGGCGTGGTCATTCCCTCTCACTCCCAGCGGGTGATTTCTCACTTTCTGTCTCTCCAGCAAGCGTATATGCCCTCTAGCAAAAATCTCTCTCTCTAAAAAATAAAGGTCATACTGTATACCATGAAAATATATATCAAATGTATATAAACCAGAAATCTTAGTAACAAATAAGTTAAAATTAAAAATGAAAATAGAGACCAGCCCCCAAGGTACAGCAGTGAAGTACCATGCACAGGGAGGCAGGTCTCGCATAGCCAACTGCAGTTAGAATCCCACTCCAGCAGCTTGAAAAACACGCCAGGCACATGTGTGCATGCCCAAGATCCTGACAGGCTGGAGAAAGGGAGGGAAAAGTATTGTAGCATGATCACCCTCAACTGAAGAGTTTTTTCTCTTTCTCATTTTCTCTGTCTGGCAAGTACACGCACCTTTAGGTGGCAAAATACAAATAAAAAGTAATTTTTAAAAACCCTTAAATAATTGTATGATCTGTACCCATAAGATGGAACTCTAATCATTAGCAATAAAAAGAAACAAACTACTGATAAATATAGTTTGTTTTGAGGTTTACTACAATATAATAAACCTCAAAAACATATGCTAAGTAAAAGATGCCAGATACAAAAGACAATATGTTGTATGTTTCCATTTATATGAAATACACACAAAAGGAAAAATCTATAATAAAAGAACATAGATTGCCTGGGACTGAGGGCAAGCAAAGGGATTGACTGTGAACAGGAACTAAAGATTTCTTTGAGTTGGTGAAAGCATTCTAAAATTGGATTGTAGTGATGGTCACGCAACAATCTAAATGTGCCCCAAATCATTGAACTGTGTACTCCAAACGGCACTTCGACTTTATGGTATGCAAATTATGCCTCAAAGATACATGTGTAATACAAAATGTGGACTTCTTCATTATTATGGAATAAAGTCTTTACATTACAAACAAATAAAATAATGCTATTTATCATTTATCATATTTTACTCTTTGTTTTTGAAGACCCTACATTGTTGATGATTATTTTGTGCATGTGCCAGAAAGGTTGAAAGATCGATGAAGAGGCAGTAGTCCTTTCCAAATGTCAGACACAGGCCAAAGGGGCTTCCAAGAAAACTCATCATTCACCACTACACAGACACAAATCCTCAAAAACTTCAAGTGTAAGATACTGAGTTAAACACACAATGCCTCCCCAAATCCACTGTTTCCAACTATTTTAATATTTGTGGCCTCTAGGTCAGGAATCCTTGATTAAAAGTCATTCCAAGAAGTTGACACCCCCCTTGTTCTTTGAAACATGTAAAAAGTGCTTTGTTTTAATATTTTACCCTTTGCCTTTCCCCTCAGTGCATCAGATCAGCAGCCAAGTTGGAAAAAGCACAAGAACCTCGTAAGCAGGCCGCGGCTCTAGGGTCAGTCAGTTGGAACATCTTGGCTCTGTTCCCATTCTCATAGCTGCAGGAATATGCCATTGCATTCATGTCAGGACCCAATTTTTAAACTCCATTTCCCACTTCACATACCACAAATGTTCCTCACGGATATGGGTCACAATGTGAGTCATTGTCTCAAGCACTTTGCCATCATAGGACCTATAGCCCCTTGTGAATGGAAAAATATAAAAACGAACTGATGACCTCTGTGGGCCATATGCAGTGACTTCAGGGGTTGGAATAAGAAGAGCAAACTTGCACTACATATATTCCTTGGCAGCAATAGCTAATATTTGTCTAAATGGAATAAGGTGTCTGAAGCAAAACAGGATGCCTAAAATACTGTTTGTTCGTGAGGAGGAGTTCAGGGGAGAACACACTGGACTTACGAGTTTTTTCCATTATGCTCACACTGGGCCCCTCGATCTCCTGGAGCTTTGTGTAAACACTGATTTTATATTCTGAGTCGGGCTGGAGTCCGTAGAAGCAATGCCTGGTTGTCCCTCCACCCACAGTGGATTCTTGCTTTTGTGTATCTATAATAAAAACAAAACAGAACATATACACAGGAAATTTTTTTTACAAGTCATAAGTAGATGCTTTGTTTCTAAAATGATTAATATGCATTTTATATCCAATAACTCTAGAATAAATTATACTTGTTTTAAGTTTTTTTTTTCTGAAGAGTTAATATAGCCACAGGTTTTCTTCAACAGAAAAATCACATTTATACGTACAAAAAATGAAACTTACTATTAAAAGACTCCCGAGATTAACCCTCTAGTTAATCAATTATTGGTGAAACAATGCAAACACATCTCCTAACTAAACTGTTTTTAAACATGATTCTCCAGAATACCGTCATCTGATTCCAAATTGAGATAAAGGATATGTCCTTTTGGCCCCATAAAACCTATTACCATCCAATGGGATGCCCTTCTAGGCAGTCGTTTAAAGATACAGGTATGGGGTTAGAGATTACAGGGTTTGAAGCAGTCTTCATGTCTTTGAGCTAGGAGGAGGGTTTTCAGCACCACAGAAGCCTGATTCATGGGTCCTGGTTGTTTCCAAAGTTGCCAGAAATGCAGGTAAGAGCTTGGAGCCACACTGAGACAAGGGAGTCCCAAGATCGCCCAATTTCCTACCTTTCAACTTTTATTTATTTATTTTTAGACAGATTTTTACTATAGGGCATGTGTGCTCACCAGAGAGACAGAGAGACAGAAAGTGAGAAATCACCCCCGGGGCGGGGGGGTGGGGGAGATGGCCATGCTGCCATCCCTTCTCTCCATTCTCTGCTCGGGATCTTGGGCATGCACGCACATGTGTCCAGTGTGAGTTTTAAGCCACGAGGTTCAGGACTTGAACCATGGTTGACTACGTGGGTGTCCAGTGATATAACCATTATGCCATTTGCTGGTCCCTTAACCAATGCCCATGATTTTTTTTTTCCATTGCAAAGAAGATGCTTAGGGAGCTCAGAGGAGGCACTCTTAACTCACTTGTCTACTCTGAAGCTTCCTTTCTACTTTTTAAATCATAATTGGGAAAATAGTACATGATGCTTATGGAGTTTAGGGCCCTACTTGCAATGGGACTCATTTCCCAATTCCTAGTTTCAAGTCCTTTTTGTTCTATTGAGGAAACACGTCACATACAGCCAGTGGCGCGTTCTTTACTATGTTATGGTAGCACAAAGACCTTTAAGGTCTGATTAACTGTTGGCTCCTTTCTTCATTCTCACACCCAAGGTCAAATTTCTATGCTTCTCCTGGGAGAATTAGTACTTCCCCTTAGGTCTGGAGCTTGGGCAAGTTGGACCAATTATATTCATTATTTTCTGAGGACTTACTAATATACTGGGTTCTGGGCTTGGTATTAAATGATAACAAATATCATAGTAGTCAATATTTTATAAGTGCTTATTATATGTCAGGCAATAGTCTAAGGATTATATAAACTCACTTGGTCCTTAAGACATTTACAGTTATTTCCAAGCTAAAGGTATGACACTGAAGGCCAGAAAAGTTAGTAACTTACCCAAGTTTATACACTAAAGGGCAGTATCCAAGATTTGAATTCAGAGCGATAAAGTTAATCTCAGAGGTTGTTGCTTTAATTTCCACTAAAACATCATAAAATATTATAAACGAAATACATAATTTTTCAAATGAAAGTTTGATCAGTGAGTCCATATTAACGTGCAGACATGACACTAGAGGTGGTCAGGTGAGGAGTCCTTATGACTTGGTGCTTTTTACTCCATTAGTTATGGCCGGATTTGGTACCTTTTCCGATGGGCTTCCTTCCTAGGCATAGAGGGCTTAGTTTTTACACTATTAAAAAAAAAAAAAATTCACTGGGAACCAGCATGTGGTGTGATGTTTAAGGCACTGGACACTTCCACATGGCCAACCACAGTTTAAGTCCCAGACCTGGTTGCTTGCTTTCTCACTTTCCCTTTCTCTCTCTCTCTCTCTCTCTCTCTCTCTCTCTCTCTCTCTGTCTCTCCCTGGTCAAATTAAAATAAATAAATGATAAAATAAACAAACAATTTTTAAAAAGACCTACTTCTAGTACATGTTCAAATTTATCTCTAAATTGATCTTCTCCATAAATTGCATCTGTTTAATCAAAGCCTTATAAACTGTAGAAAGCTAAAACTGAGTGTTAAAAACCTGCATTGATTAAATACATTGCACATATTACTTACTGGTTAAAAGGAACTGTTCACACCTTCAAAATGTTATTTGCAGAGGAGTTTATTAAAAACAAAATATAGAAAACACAAAAATAGACAAGGTACTTTTTAAAGTACAAAATACAAACAAGCTAAAGAACACTGGTTAAATTTTAATTTATATTATCACATACATATATTGTCACATACATATATGGGAACAAAAAATATATGTATATGATACCATGCACATATCAGAACAAATATGTGTAACTTAAAATTTTGTCTATGGATAAATCCTTCCTTTTAAAAACGTAATTAAACTAAAGCCTTTGAAATAAGTTTTTGTATGTTTGAATATTAAAGAGTTTCAGAAGTGAACTTTATAATATATTCTTTATCAATATATTTCTTCAGAATTAAATACTATTAACTTCAACATTTATCTCTCAAATATTACATTAAAACGAAATATAAAATTCTTAAGATATTTATAAAATTAGATCAATATATTATTATGAAAAAACTTTAATAGTAAGCAAAATTTAATAAACCCAGAGCTCTTTTCTGCTGATGTCCACAGTGAGTCTGTGGTTCCCAGGCTCAGAACATCACAACAGTTATGTTTTCCTGACCCTAACCACCCTTTGGAGCCTGCTGGAAACTTCAGTGAACCACCTGTAATAGAAACATTTCCTGGATCCTATGTATACATCACACTGATCTATCTTTTTTTTTTTTTTTTAAGAATTGTTTTATTTTACTTATTTATTTATTTTTTTTATTTTGACCAGATTGAGACACAGAGAGAGAGAGAGAGAGGGAAAGTGAGAAGAAAGCAAGCCACCAGGTCCAGGACTCAAACCACGGTTGGCCATGTGGGAGTCCAGCACCCTTAACCACCACGCCACCTGCTGGCCCCACACTGATCTATCTTAATAAAAGCTTCCAGGACTCTGTAGGAGTCAAGTCTAGAAATGTGCTTCTCTATTATTTCCTATTTCTTGTGGATGCCCATGCACTCTAAAGATCCTTAAAAATAAGATATAAACAGGATTTGGCTGCTAAAGAAATACATTCATAAACTGTTAGAAAACTGGGATAGGCACCATCAAATTCATGGCAAACAGTATTGGTTTGATTCTCAATACCAACAAAAAGGGATTGCATGGATGGGGGTGGGGTGTATATGCATGTTGCTTTTGGCATATGCAATTCAGGTCTGATGGTTTTGCTTTAAAGGAAAACACTTAAACTGATCAAATGATGACTAATTTCCTCAGCTCCTTGTGCCAAAAGTAAGAAATTAATTCTTTTATTTTTAGCATGGGGGAAAATGTTCTTTATTTGTGTATTCATTCTTATGGAGCCAAATACAGTCTCTGAATTAGTAACATGTGGATAATGATGCCACCAACTTGACTTACCCAAATGTCCTAGGACTGGTTACCAAGATCCACAAGCAAAGAGTAACTAAGATCTCCAAAACCGGTCTGCTGGAATTATATGTTATAAATAGTTTGACTCCCCAGGCCTCTCAAATACTTTGACCCCAATTATAATGTCACTACTTCAAACGTTGTCAACATAATTTTGAGAATAGGTTTTTGTTCCATAGGATCATTTTTCCTGGATGTGGTCCTTCCTAAGTTTTGGTTCTTTACTACATTGTAATGCTCTATCCTTATTAAATAACAATACTACTAAATTAGCATTTCATCACCTGAAGAGAGAAGACAAGTGAAACATCTTCTGTGCCCTTTCTAAAGCAAGTTGTAGGATATTTACCAAGTTATGGGAATTAGAAGGGCAATACAGTATTTGGGTCTGTGTGGCATATAAATACATCTGAAGGGAACTTGAAGGGAAATGCTATACACAATGTTAGGTGTCAAATAAATTCAAAAACTGCTGGAGGGAGGACAGAACACCAGAACATCTGCAGAGCTAATGAGGGTTCTCACAGAGTTCTGAAGTTATTCAAGAACAACCAAAAGACACTCATGTGATCGGTCCTAGAACCAAAAGCCTGTAATTGAATTTGGCGAGTGGATGACTGACTCAAAAGCAGATTTTATTTCAGTCTCTCCTGAGAGGACCTCATCCTTGTGGTAATCTCTTATATTTTTTTCTTCTTCTTGGCCATAAAAATGTCATAATATTTACATGGTTAGAGGACATCTGCTGTTTTTGCCTATCTTGCATCTTATCCCTTTTTCTTTGGATCCATTCCTCCCCACACTTGGTCTTTATGGTTTGGGGAGGATTGGATACTGCTCCTCCCTTCCCCACCACCACCAGATACAGGGATGGAAGGCAACCAGATCTGACCAGTCAATTTATTTCATGCTCTTGAATTCAATAATAGATGTAGGAACATATGACCCAAATCCAGCCAAAATGACTCAGTTCTTGGACTTCTATTGGAACTATTGAGAAAGAGAAGCTCTCTTTTCACCAAGACTATTAAACTGGAAACTGGGATGCAGTTCTTCTGGGTCTGACTGGGGCCAATTTGGAAAGCCTATCTGAGAATAAAGGCAGAGGAGATCAGAGTGTAAGAAGGGAGAAAGAACATCACAATGACATTGTTTGACCACCTAGAACTAAATGTGAGTGATGCCAGATACCTTTGAGCTTCTTAATATATTAGCCAATACATTGACCCTGTTGCCTAAATTTTTTATCTAGGTTTATATAAATACAACAAACAGACATGAATGATATAGCCTGGATACTTTATTCACAAAAGTCTTGGAAATTGGCAGGTATTGCTTCAAATGAAGGAATTTTAAAGATAATAAAGCCTAAGGAAGATAATTAACCAACAGATGGGGTTACAACAGAGATTTCTCCACTGACTTTATTTTAGAATGATTTTGTGTACATGATCATGCCATCGAAAATATATGCAAAAAATAAAAACTGGAAATTACTCATTGAACTATAGGAATTTGCCCCTTGAAAGGCATTAAAACATAGGCCAATATGGGATAAAGTTTTTCTCCAACATATGGAAAAATTGGGTCCCAGTTCTCCCTAGTATCGCCTTTGACTGAAGTTGAAGGACTAAGATTTCTGCAGCAACAGCACATGAAGCTGATGGAAGATTTTTTTTCCACTAATAAAACAATCTTAATAGATATTATTTTGTATTGATATAGGACCTTCTTCAAGAACCTTAAATGCTTTACAGACATCATCTCTAATTAATCCCCACAACAACCCTGTGAGGTAGGTATTACTCCTATTTTTCAAGATAGGGAGATTGAAGTATAGAGAGGTTAAGTGACTTGCCCAAGGTCATACAATTAAATTCACTGAAGAGCCAGGACCTGAGCACCTTAGCCTCCCAACTCCCAGCCAAATACCTCATAAGAGAATTTTTAATGAAAAAAATATTACAGAGACAAAAAACTTGGGCTCTGGTACTCACCTGAGCATGGAAGAATGGATATCTTATCACAAGCCCTCCCAAAGTGAATCAAGATGGTGACTACATTACTCTAACGTAAAGAATCTCAACCTAATTCTTCCCCACTCCAAAGCAGAAAAAGTATTCCTTAATCGAAATTGCACAAGTTTAAATATTTAAACTAATTTCCTATAGCCACCCTCACATTCTCTTCCCTATGAAACTGTTTTTTTTTTCTTTAAGCTGTCAACTAGATACGTTGCTGTCCATTTGATAAATGATGTTCAGTAAGACAATTAGGTGAATGAGATGTAGACAGTTATGCTCATAAATTTCTCAACTATAATTGCTGATGAGAAGTTAGTTGAGCAACACTTTGTTCATCCTTGTTTAATTAAGACTACAGAGGCTTGGTTGAAAAAGTCTCTGGCAGCCTGAAAATAACTCTGAAGGGGTACAAGTTAACTTAACATGAAGTCAAAAAATAATGTGGGGGGGCTTAGTTTTGTTGTTGTTGTTTTGTTTTTGGTTTTGGTTTTGGTTTTGTTTGCTTGTTTGTTTTTTACTGCAAAGTTCTAGGTTTCCAAAGAGCGTATTGAAGTTTCACATTATTGGATTAACATGATCAGATATATCAGGAATATCCTTTGATAAAATATCAATACTACATTGCAAGTATGATTAAAAAGAATCTAGTAAAAAAAGGAAAACATAGATTTTACTACTTCCATTGATAAACCCAGTTTTGATATATCTTTGTATCAATCTGTATAGTTACAATGTTTATGAAAGGCAAGAAATATCCAGAAGAACCTGTGTTTGCTCATTTCAACTGACATGATATGAAAAAAAACTATGGTGGAATAGTTTAAAAATATGATTATTATACTTGTACTTTTTAATAGCTTAACAAATACTACTAACTGTCAACTCATATATTAAAGTTTGACTTAGCTAGTCTTATAAAGATGTATGAACTATAACTCATTGACGTTTTGTAGTTGTTTCTCAAATCGTTACAAATATTTCCTCTACTTCTGCTTAATCATTCCATAAATCATATTTAACATAGCCACAAAATTCATGTGACTGATTTACCCTGATTTTCTCCTCTTTAATGATTATTTAAAATTAAAGCCATTCCAATTTGTTTGGCTGATATCAGAGTGGAAGGACCCTTATACCATACACAAAGAATCAAGGAAGTAGTGGTCCAGTAAGTCTACTATAACGATATCTTGGCTGGGGTTGGCTGGACTTTTTTCTTCTAATATATTCTTCC